GGCCAGCGAGCCCTCGCCCCCCTCCGCCTTCTCCTCCGTCCGCCCAGCCGGCGGCCTCTCCAGCGTCCTGGTACCTGGTTTGAAGCAGACACCCCCGGCTTTGGTGCGGACGAAGTATTCCGTGGTGTCCTCGGGAAGCACAAAGTCCATGCGGTGCAGCTCCTCGGCGGCCCTGCTGGGCGGCAGCGGCTGGAGCAGGGGCGAGTGGGAATAGAGGGGGGTGCGCAGCAGGTCGGGGCTCCCCGGCTCTGGGCTGGCCTGCGGCGTGACGGGGGCATTATTCCAGAAGAAGGTGGACACGAGGTTGGGGCTGAGGGAGGCCAGTTCTCGGGGGAAGGTGACGTAGGACAGGGTCTTAAAGAAGTGCAGGAAGGAGATGAGGCACAGGCCGGCCATACAGAACACGAGGAAGAGCTTGTAGCGTCTCATCTTCATTCTGCGGGAAAGGGGGGGAGAGCGCGGTCAGGCCCTGCATTCCGGGGCGACCCGAGGCCCCTCTAGGGGCCCGGCCTGAGGACGCCTCGGCTGCACCGTGTTTGTGCAAGTCCCGGCCAGGCGCTGGCCACCCTGCGTGAAATCACCTCCACCCCCCNCCCCCCCCTCAGGCACCAAGCCCGCGAGACCAACTTGCTGTATACCCAGTACCCTGGGAAGCCCCACTATCAAGTTCAGGACCCCTTCCTCCCACAGCGCTTCCTCTCAATGACCACCAAGCCACCACACAGCCACAGCCGCCCGCGGGCTCACCCCACCGCGACCGGACCCCCTGCACTGCTCCAGGAACAAAACGCACCCTGGGAAAAGCTTGGCCTTGCAGTGCCTAACCTACCCCAGGGGGCTTACAGGCCCCAGAGGACGGGGGAGCAGGCTGCAGGCATGGGGGGCCCTTCTTTGCACTGCCCAGAGTGATGTTCTTGGCATGTTGGCTCTTCCTTTCTACCTGTTCTACCTTTTCTTGTGGAATATTGACAAGTCTTCTGAATGCCTTTTCACTGAAAAATTCGCACGTCTCAAGGGATGACATTTAATTCTAACATATTTAAAGAATAAAATTAAGTAAAATTCCCCTCATTACCCCACGCTTTAAACTAGATTGAGCTCCAGGCATAAACAGTTTGATCTATTAGAGGTGTTTCGAAGGTTTTAGATGCAATTCTTCTGTTCTTGGTTTAATAGTTTTCATAAATATCATATTGGGCACTAAGTCCAAATTTTTTCTCAATCAATAATAGATTGAAGAGATTTTCAGATAAGTAGAAATAAATTTACCACCTCCTTTTAATTCCTACATAATATTCCATGGTTATTTTGAAGAAATCATTCTCTGTGCATAAGTGATTCATGAGCAGAGCCATTCTCTATTTACACAGTCTAATTTATCAGTTTGTTATGGCTGTCGAGGACTTCGTGTATGTGTGTGTGTGTGTGTATATATATATATATATATATATATATAAAACAATTTAAATAGACTTTATATTTTAGATGATTTGCAGTTTATCAGAAAAGTTGTAAAGACAGTACAGAGTTCCCTACACCCCTCGCCCAGTCCCGCCCAGGGTTAACCTCTTAAATCACCAGGATACATCTGTGACAACCAGGAAACTGAACAGGCTCATTGCTATTAACTCAACTCCGCACTTGCTGTGCACGTAGTTTATCTCATGAGCGAGCCTGCGCAGCAGGAGAGCACTCCCACTATAAACCCAGCTCATTTTGTCCTTGAGCCCATGGGGCTGGGCAGGCAGGCAGGAATGTTATACTCATTTCGCTGAGTGGGACCAGTGACTTGCTTGGGGTGACCCACCAAGACACAGGACGGGTTGGGAAAGAAACCTGGCCTTTGGCATATGGTGTCATTTCCCATTCCATAGATCCCCGTGAGTAGGGCACTGTCCTTCCACCTAGAACATTCTTCCCCTTAAAATGGTCCTTTCTGCCCTGGCTGGGTGACTCAGTTGGTTGGACCTTCGTTCCCCCGTTTCTCTCACATCGATGTCTCTCTCGCCCTTCTTCTCTCTCTAGAATCAATGGGCATGTCCTCAGGTGAGGGTAAAAATATTTAAAAGTTCCTTCCTGTGGCTTCTCTGGTTCTTTCTCTGAGTCATTTGGGTGTCGTCCTGTCATACTCCCCCTTTACTTCCTAATTCTGAGGACAGCAGGGTACAGTGGAAAATTAAGCACTTGGCTTTAAATGACTGTGACCTAATACAAGGCTCCACACCATTCTGAACCTCAGTTTCTACATCAGTGAAATGGATAGAGTTCTTGGTGTGCAGTGGGTGCTCAGCCAACTTTCGTTCCTTTCTGGGGTTTTTTCCTCCAAATTACACGAGCAAGTTTATTTAGAAAGTTACAGAGGTAGTAGAAGTGAGCCGCCTGGGCTGTGTAGGCTCAGGAAACAAGTTACAGAAGCCAAAGAAGGCCCTTGGAGCCTAGGAGAGGGAAAGGCAGAGGTAACGTGCCCGAGGGGGAGGAAGAGTGGGACGGGAAAAGCGGGGGCATGTTGCAAGAGGAAGAGCGTGCCAAACGAGTTCCTTTCTTTTTTTAAAAGTTTTTTATTGATTTTAGAGAGAGGAAAGGAAAGGGAGAGAGAGAAACATCAATATGAGAAACATCAATCAGTTGCCTTCTGTACGAATCCCGACTGGGGGTCAAACGGGCAACCAGGAATGTGCCCTGATGGGAAATTGAAGTGGTGACCTTTCGGTGCACTGGGCGACGCTCAACCGAGCCACACGGGCCAGGGCAAACTTTCGTTCCTTTCAATTCTCAAGGCTGAAAGGTTCCAACATAATTTACTCTAAGCCACATGGTCCTAAAGCACAGAATCATAAACGGTTTGATCTAGAACAGATTTTAAGGACCATTTCCTCCAACCCTTTCATTTTACAAAGGAGGAAACCAAGGGATTTCAGGGTGAACCTGGGTGGNTATATATATATATATATATATATATAAAACAATTTAAATAGACTTTATATTTTAGATGATTTGCAGTTTATCAGAAAAGTTGTAAAGACAGTACAGAGTTCCCTACACCCCTCGCCCAGTCCCGCCCAGGGTTAACCTCTTAAATCACCAGGATACATCTGTGACAACCAGGAAACTGAACAGGCTCATTGCTATTAACTCAACTCCGCACTTGCTGTGCACGTAGTTTATCTCATGAGCGAGCCTGCGCAGCAGGAGAGCACTCCCACTATAAACCCAGCTCATTTTGTCCTTGAGCCCATGGGGCTGGGCAGGCAGGCAGGAATGTTATACTCATTTCGCTGAGTGGGACCAGTGACTTGCTTGGGGTGACCCACCAAGACACAGGACGGGTTGGGAAAGAAACCTGGCCTTTGGCATATGGTGTCATTTCCCATTCCATAGATCCCCGTGAGTAGGGCACTGTCCTTCCACCTAGAACATTCTTCCCCTTAAAATGGTCCTTTCTGCCCTGGCTGGGTGACTCAGTTGGTTGGACCTTCGTTCCCCCGTTTCTCTCACATCGATGTCTCTCTCGCCCTTCTTCTCTCTCTAGAATCAATGGGCATGTCCTCAGGTGAGGGTAAAAATATTTAAAAGTTCCTTCCTGTGGCTTCTCTGGTTCTTTCTCTGAGTCATTTGGGTGTCGTCCTGTCATACTCCCCCTTTACTTCCTAATTCTGAGGACAGCAGGGTACAGTGGAAAATTAAGCACTTGGCTTTAAATGACTGTGACCTAATACAAGGCTCCACACCATTCTGAACCTCAGTTTCTACATCAGTGAAATGGATAGAGTTCTTGGTGTGCAGTGGGTGCTCAGCCAACTTTCGTTCCTTTCTGGGGTTTTTTCCTCCAAATTACACGAGCAAGTTTATTTAGAAAGTTACAGAGGTAGTAGAAGTGAGCCGCCTGGGCTGTGTAGGCTCAGGAAACAAGTTACAGAAGCCAAAGAAGGCCCTTGGAGCCTAGGAGAGGGAAAGGCAGAGGTAACGTGCCCGAGGGGGAGGAAGAGTGGGACGGGAAAAGCGGGGGCATGTTGCAAGAGGAAGAGCGTGCCAAACGAGTTCCTTTCTTTTTTTAAAAGTTTTTTATTGATTTTAGAGAGAGGAAAGGAAAGGGAGAGAGAGAAACATCAATATGAGAAACATCAATCAGTTGCCTTCTGTACGAATCCCGACTGGGGGTCAAACGGGCAACCAGGAATGTGCCCTGATGGGAAATTGAAGTGGTGACCTTTCGGTGCACTGGGCGACGCTCAACCGAGCCACACGGGCCAGGGCAAACTTTCGTTCCTTTCAATTCTCAAGGCTGAAAGGTTCCAACATAATTTACTCTAAGCCACATGGTCCTAAAGCACAGAATCATAAACGGTTTGATCTAGAACAGATTTTAAGGACCATTTCCTCCAACCCTTTCATTTTACAAAGGAGGAAACCAAGGGATTTCAGGGTGAACCTGGGTGGCTGGACTCCTATGCTACACATCCTTCCTGGCCTCACCTTGGTGAGGAGTCCTGAGCAAGCCAGTCAAGAACAGTACCTGCACTATCACCACTCCCCTGGCCAGGTCAGGACTTGCACTCTCAGGTCCAAGCTGCCCCACCTCATTCAGTTTGAATGTGTGCCCTCCCCGGAGCCTGCCGAGTGGCTAGCGCAGCTGACTGCAGGCAGGCAGGGCAGTTGGGGGTGGGCCTAACCTCTCCTGAGGTCAGCTGTCCCAGGGCAGAGGTAGGGGTGGTCTCCACTGGCGTTTGGGAAGGCGGGAGGGGTTGCTCCTTGGCAGCATTTTGAAATGGGTCTTCTGGGCTCCACCGTAGATTCCAGCGCTGCTCTGGCAACGTGAGCCCAGGCAGACCAGGCCAGCAGGGTGAGTGGAGGGGCACCGGGGTGAGGCCAATAAAGGCAGGCGGGGAGTTGTTGCCATGGCAGGAACCAGGTCTAAGGCAACTGAAAATTGAGGTCAGCACAGCAGAAGCCTCCAGAGTGACCCACCTAAGGATTTCAGGACCTGGCAAGAGAGCCCTGGTCCTTCTGGCAGACTGTTTTCCCCTACTTGGGACCTGCCTCTCCAGGGCACACCTTAATCCCTGCCCTGGTTGGACTGAACTGGCTTGTGGGCTGTGGAGAGCAGGGCAGGGCAGGGCAGGGCCAGGACTAAATCCCCTGGCAGCAGTGAACAAAAGCCTCAGCAGGTAAGAAACTCAGGGAGGCAAGTGAACACACCCTGCTTTTCCCAAAGGGCGCCCTTTGACCCCACCGAGGTCACAATGACCCAACTCCCCTGGCCAGGCTGGCTTTCAGGATCTGGTTACACCTGGCCAGCTGTGCCATTCGAAGGACGGACTCACCAATGCCTGGGATCTTCCTCACTCACTGCGACCTTCAGAGTGAGGCCCCTTCATAAGGTCCCAGCCTAGCTTGCTGCCGAGAATCATGGAACTGAGCATGTTTCTCTCATCATTTGGGCTGCCAGGAAGCTCAAAAGTGCACAGTGGTCAGCTAGAGCAAGTCAGTGCCCCCATTTTGGGGGACACCTTCACTCAAAGCTGCCTGTAGTTTTTAAACTTCCTGGCTTCATTCCTTACCTTATCTTCACATATTTTGATAAGTACTTCAAATACATTTTTTTGACTAAGAGGCATATAAGTAGGAAACAGGATAAAAGAAAGCATTGGGAACTAGGGTCTCACGTCTCAACCACCCTGGGAGGTCACTGTAACGGCTTTGTTTTTACAGATGGGGAAATTGAGACTCAGAAAGCCAACAAGATTTTCCCCAATGACATTAAGTAGATGGTCAAGACTTGAACATAAGTTCTGTTCCCAAGCCAGCACCTATATCCCTCCTTATAGCTGAGACAGTATTTCTCCCCAGTGCAGCTGGCCTGGCTGTGGGCAAAAGCCATGGAACCAAACTGGAACCTAGCCAGCAGCATTTCTGGGTCCTTTGTAAAGCTTCATGGAGCAACCATCAGATGTAAGCATAAAGCTGATGGTCACTGATACAACCTAGCTGCTGTCCTGAGCACATTATACGCATGACTTCACTGAATCCTCCCAACATGGAGCAGGTGCGATTGTCATCCCCATTTCACAGATGAGAAGACAGAGGTGAGAGAGATGATGTAACTTGCTCAGTGTCACGCAATTCATAAGGGTCAGACTTGATTCTGTGGGGTCAATAGTGGGATTTAATCCAGTGATAAAGCTATCCTGAGCCCCTTCCATCTGCCAAGTTCAACCCAAGTAGGTGATAGGGTCCTACGAAGTGTCTATCAGTGACTAGTGAAGACAACCCACTGGATGGAACAACCACCATCTCATTTGGCCCACACAACACCCATAGGGTGCTCAGCCAACCTATATCACCCATTTATCCACTCAGCAGTGACTTCTCGAGAGCATGATGTGTGCCAGGCACTGTGCTGGGCCCACCCCGCGGAGCATGCTTGGGGTGAGCGGGGAAAGGGAGTGCAATAACCTAAATAAACGAGTCAAGTAATATTGTACATTAGGAAGAGTAATGCTCTGAAGAATAAAGCTGGGTAAAGAGGGGGTGATCAGCGACAAATAGGGTGGCAGGGCAGGCCTCACCGAAGAGTGAGACTTGAAGATGAGGGTTCAGGGAAGAAGATTCCAGGCAGAAGGAACAGCCAGTACTCAGGAGACACTGCAAGGAGAGCAGATCAGAGGGAGATGGACGGGTTCAGATCACACAGGGTCTGGGGTCACAGCTGGACACACGGTTGTCACTGGAGGACTCTGAGGAGTATGCTCTGCCTTGGGTTTGAACAGGCTCGCTTGGGCTGCTCTGTTGAGAAGAGATTGTCTCCTCAAGGGCAGAGCAGAGAGGTCTCCCAACCCTCTTCTTGACTGTGCGCTGGGAGCACTGAACCAGTCTTCTGAGTTCCCATGACCACTGTGAACATGAGCCTCAGGGTCGCTTGTCCCCTCTCAGTCTAAGTTCCCCATCTATAAAATGGAGTATGTTCACTCCTGCCCTGCCCACTTAAAATGAGACACTGAACTGGGCAGACCAGTCCATCTCCCCTCCCGGGCAGCAGGACTATGAGCTCACAGGGTAGGACCTGTACACAGCAGGTGCTCAATAAGGTTGCCCTGCATTGCCCTGGGCCACCTCAAAGGCTCCCTTTCACTTCCATGTGCACATTCTGGAACCAGACTACCCGGTTCTGATCCTGGCTCTGCCATTTCCCTGTAACCCTGGGCAGGCTAATAACTTTTATGCACCTTCCTTTCCTTACCTATACAAGGATTCAATAATAATCATGGAAAGTACCTAGTGCACGCCAAGGGCTCTTCCTACTGCTATTGCTGTTCCCCAGCCTGGCAGAGTAAAGAGAGCCTGGGGTGGGGGAGGAGCAGCTGAGGCAAAGACTCGGGTCTGGGCCCCGGTGGGTGCTGTCCTGTCTCAAAGTAACAAGGAGCAGAGTGTGTGTGTGGCGGGGGGGCTAGCAAGTAGAGCCTGGCCAGAGTCTGAGCCTGATGGGGGGAGGAGGGACAGCACCCTGCTTCCTAGGGCTCCTGGGAAAGGAGGAAAGAACTGTGAGGCTGTCTGGGAGCCTCCATAGAGGGACCCCCAGATATTCTGGGAGTTGCACTCAGCCTCAGGGGCCAGGTCTCCCATTTGAGTGCATGAAGGTGGTGGGGCATGGGCCAGGTGCTTCTTGAAGCTGACCCTGACCCAGGATGACAGCAGGACCAGCCCATTCTGGGCCTCCTGCTCCTTGTAGCCTCATGGTGGCTGTGGCTGTGCCTTAGCCAGAAGGTCCCAGCTGGGCAGATTTTTTTCTTGGCCCCCCTTCTTCCCACTTCTGCCCCACATGCTTGGAAGACTGATGGAGCGAGGTGGGGAAGCAGATGAGCCCAAACCCCATGACACAGACGTGACGTCAGGGTTGGGGCTCAGACTGAGTCCAGTGAGGACTCCTGGCCAGAGAGGAGACAGGCGCTCCCTGGAGGCTGCAGGCTGTGACTGTGGAGCTGGCCAGGTGGGCAGCAGTCTCCCAGTGCAAACAACCCTGACAGCTGTCAGCTGTCACAGGGGTGATGGGAGTCCCGTGGAGCTATCCATGGTCCTGAGTTTGCCTGCGCTGACCAGGGTCCTAGCTCA